GTGATCAAACATCTTTGGCCTCACCACAGCAGTACTGTATCAGACATGAACGTCGGATGGTCGAGTCGGAAGTTGTTCGCGTCACTTTGTCTTCGAAGCATTGCATAACAATCCAATATCCAGCTGGATCGCCAACAAAGGTGATCAGGTCTTGCCTAGGGAGGCACGTGGTAGTGTTCGGACCGAAACAGTTGGATTTGGGTTCAAGAAAACAGTTAGTGCAAATATGTGAATCCAAATGGAGGTCTGCTCTGCGATCCTGAACCTCCGAAACTGCAGCTGCCAACGAATCATCCAAACGCGCCACCGACGATATGCGCCGAGCATAAGTTATCTGCTTTAGAGAAGATATCCGAAGAGCAACATCAGAAGGAAGACCACAAAATCGTAACGCAAACAATCTATCCGTTTACTAATCAGCTGATCCGACGTAACATCGTGCTCAAGACAACCATCATCTGTAGATTGTTTAGCCTGCGGACGCACCTTAGTGAGAGTCGACTCCAGCATCCTAATCCGAGTCTCAGGATTCAGTAATTCCTCAGCATCAGTAATACCAACAGCATCACAGCAGTCCTCAGCATGAAAATCAGAGACATACATTACTGCACTATTCAACTATTCAAAGACTATACAAAGCCTAGACTAGGTAGTCGCACGATACGGGCAAAAACTGTAGACTAGTAAACCTATGATGCACGAACGGTCTGGGCAGAGAAATTAAACAGTAAATTCCGTTACCATAGTTCAATACCGTGATTCCTATAGTATAAATTAAATACAGAAATCAAATTACGAATCGAAGGTGGAAAAAGGGCCTTGCTTGCCCGAAAACACTGCACAACCACGATGCGTTTCGATGTTATTTCACCTCCTCAGGTGGAGGTAGCAGGCCTCGAACCTGCGACTTCTGCAATAGTAGCCGAAACCTTTACCCTTTGGCTACCGGGTCACGACGGGCAACACTTGGCATAACGGTAAATGACTAATTGGAGGGTCAATTTTGGATTACACCTTGTGTGACTGGATTGCGGCGCGCAATCTCAATTTGGAGCGCGATTCACATTGGTGAACCTTGGTCAGTGCGATCTCTAGGACCGTAGTCAAAGCAGATGGAACTTGGGTGTTGCCCGCCCAAAAAATTGCACAACGACGACGCGTTTCGATGTCATTTCATCTCATCAGGTGGAGATAGCAGGCCTCGAACCTGAGACCATTGGAATAATAGTGGAAACCTCTGAACCTTCGGCTACCGCGTCACGGCAGGCAACGCTTGGCACAACGATAAATGACTTTGTCGTAGGCTTTCAAACATACATAACCTATGGGTTGTCTTACAACGAGGTCGTCGAAATAAAATGCTGTAGTACATTTACTCTCGTGATATCCGTACGACACTTATCTGTGCAATGGAAGTAAGTGCTAACGGGATCCAAACACTGCATTAGAAAACACCCGTGGGTAGCCTAGTCATCCATATTCGTCTCCCATTGTATTTGCAAGGCTGCTTGCACCGAGCGCTTGTGAAATAATAAGACGAACAATACAACGGTACATGACCCTCGGATGCTTGAGTCTCAGTGGCAGTCAAGCGGAGCGGTGTTCATTTGCTTAGGTTGAATGTGGTCTGCACAAATTCATACAACCCCATTTCGCAGTTCCCCCTTCCAAAGTTCGCCTTGTGAAGGCAGCGGAAATTTGATTAGTTTGCATCTTCCGTGACTCACACAATAATGTGTAAATATAATCCGTTTCGTTGGGAAAATCACACTTGAACCTTAGGACATGAAAACCTTCGGCACATACTCGTGTCACAGCGTTGACTATAGAAGCCAATCCAATTAACACCCTACCGGGTCAAGTGGGTGCGTACGAAATGTCAGAGGTAACTGTGAATTGAGCGACCGCTTCATTAATCTAACAGCTCCTGTGGTGCTTGGTTTGACACCGCCACTGCTAAGCGAAAGCTACGAATGGACCGCTCAAAGAAGGAATCATCGTTACACCACATGTACGAAGGCGATGCGATAATTAACAGTAACCTATGTTGATCACCAAACTTCCTGTGGATGCGGGTTGATCTCATCGCCTTCGTGCGACCCAAAAGACCCAAGCAGACAACTGTATGATAACCATCTGCAGTTACCCCTTCGGTGTTAGTCCGTTCCCTGGGTAGATCGGATGTAGCGTGATAGACAGTTTCGTGAATTGCGATCCGCCATTTGACGTGTTTGGTTTGTGCCACGTTGCTGTCTCCTGCTGTGTACCAAACTTGTCCAACCCCATGCACATACGCACGCGTTTTACACCTGGTCTGCCAGTCCCATCGTGGGAGAGCGGACAGGTGTTATGGTAGGTTGTAGAGACTGCCACTAGGTTTTCTACGGTGGGCAATATGAATTCCATTGCTGCCGAGACGCAGCACTTGTGCATTGGGCGAGCTGAGCGGTAGTCGAAAGATAGACGATCACCACATTCTCATAACTGACTGGGTGTGGCCACATGCGATACGTGGGGCCAGAGGTGCGAAACGTCAGGCGGTTTCAGTCACACTGAAGCAACGATGAAATTAATTTTCCTATGCTCATGCATTCAAATGCTCATCCTCGTAGCGCGCTTCTGAATGGAACGCGTGTGAAGGTCAAATTCAACGAAGTCTACGATTTTGGCTATCCTCATAATTGAAATTAGAAGTGGAAGAAGACGTGAAATTCTTTCAGGCTGTCAGCAATTTGTTCCACATGCAGACTTAAATTGGTGAAGAACGGTGGAAATGGCGGCACATGGATTCAGCTGCTGAACTTCGTGACACTGTGATGGTAATCAGGGTTGAACACTAGTGAAACCTTCACTGTATGTAGTCAGATGTACGAAAACGGTACTCACTGGGCAAATGCGTTTTCACTTTTGCCACAGTGGACAGTAAGGTGCTTTCACGATTCACTTTAAACTTGCAGTAGCTTATGCACCCCGATAATGTCTGCTCTGGGCCACAGAGAGCTAGATGGATTGAGACAAGTGCAAATAGCAGTTCTTGGATAGTCATCATCATCGTCATCGTCAACGACAGTACATCAGCCATTTGAACTGATGCTTCGCTGCCATACAACCATGAGGACCTATGAAGTAAAGAATAAGGAGAGAAGGGGACTTACCTGGAAATCTTGATGCCCTAAGCAAACATTCAGGGTCAAGGCGCTTACATCTTGTGTAGACAACATACAGTCACAAACAGCTGCCTGTCGTGCAAATATAAGGCGGCATCGGCGAGACAGCTTCCTTGCGGCTTTCACTGCCACGCGTCATAATCAGCCATTACCCCGCAGATAACTCAGCAACAAACACACTTTAAACAGGCAATCCAATTAGGAGACGGCAGCAGACGCGCCACTGGTGTCGGTTGCGAGCCATGTCCTGTAAAGTCTCGAGCCAAGCACATGGCGAGTCACGTGCGCTCCAGCCCGGAAGGCAAGACGAACCAACGGCACCCAGTTTGATCGTCAGTGACTTCATTTTCCGCTGCCAAGTCAACTTCTGTCCACCTCGAACCTTGAGCCACCCTACACCTGGCAGACTAAACAAGACCCTCCTAGGTAAGCGGTGACCAGGCATACGTAGCATGTGCCCAAGCCAAGGCAACTTATTCAGTGTTAGCTATCGTTCTAAGGAGCTAGAATGATTATCATTACCTAGTACTCGCCTATGCACGTAATCGTTGCGGACACTCTGGTGCTATCCGACACCAGCAACGCTTCTCAGAAAACGATGATCAAAGACTTGAAGGTGTCTCAGATCTTCAGACCGAAGCGGCCAAGTTTCACTACCATAGAGCAGAACGGCCCTCACTGTAACCTTGTATACCAGGGCTTTCAGATGGAGGGAAACTCCCTTCTGTCGCCAAACATGCCGCAGGTTCAAGGTAGCTCTGGCCTTTGCGATGCATGAACTGACTTCAGTTTCTATGCGCCCATCATTGCTGATGCAGCTGCCAAGATAAGTGAAATGATCAACCACCTCGAGTTCCTCGTTAGCAAGCGTCAAGGGGTCATCGAGTGACTGGTGGTCCTGCAGCAACACTTTGCACTTTGAAGGTGCGAAGTGCATACCAAATAATGGGACCACTCTGGACAGGCTGTTTAGGGTTGATTGCGCCGCCCCAACATTGTAGAAAAGCAAGACGATATCGTTCGCATAATCTAGATCAACTAACCTTTCACCAGACAGGACCTCAACGCCTACATCGTGAGATTCCTCAAGGGAACACTCCATGATAGAATGCACGACGAAATTGAACAAAAATAGGGAAATCGGACCACCCTGACGAACCCCAGCTGTGGTCGGAAAGCTATCCGATAGAACACCGTAGACTCTGACGCGGCCTGTAGTGTTCGAGTTCTTGGATAGTGAATGTTGATAAAACGGTATAGCGACCCTATTTTGGACCTGGTGATTATGCATCGGGTGGAAGGATGCATACAGAACGCCAGCCAGCTTTTTCTTTTTAGCGCGTCAATATCGGCAAAAACTCAGCGGTAGGGACAAAATCCACTTATCCATCTTGAAGATATGCGGAGATCCACGGCCTCTTACCACTTGATAATTTAACGACCGATAAAAATAGCATGAGGTTTTCTCTTGGTTTTCTCTTTATCGCTGACAACTGTATTGTCGAGTGAATAACCACAGCGTGTCTCTTGGCAATAATTTTAGTAGGCATACATATGAGAAGATAATTGCGCGGAAAGCTAGTACACGCAGACAGCCTAGTGAGCGGTATCATTTTTCAGAGCGGATTAAAAACTACAACTGAAAAATCCACTTGCGCTGTACATGCATGCAAGGTGGGGAAGGAGTGTGTGTGAAGTAAACTATGCACATCTCTATTTCTATTGTAAACTAGCTTCAGGGTAGATTGGAAACCAGTTAGTATGCGGAAGACTCTGTGATTCCGTACACGATTTCCCAAAACGTCATTCTACACATATCCTCATAATTTGCAGCATCCATATCCGACGGAGGATGAGAAGCGGCTAATTGCAAATCAGACCAATTTGACCTTGCTGCAAGTGAACAATTGGTTCATCAACGCAAGGCGTCGGATATTACAACCGATGTTGGATGCTTCCAACTTTATCCCCTTGGGGAGCCATTACTGTGGAACCACGGCTGGAGGGGCTGAGCGGAACGCGGATGGATTGGGAAATAGAGCCACCGATTCTACGAGTCCACCAGATATACATATTATCAGCAAGAAAAAGAAAGCAGCGACTAGTAGGTAAGTATATCACAATGACTGTTCTGGTTTGTTTACATTGTTTGAGATACGATATCAAGTAAATCACTGTTCATCGTCTATCTCTTAGGCCCTCCAATAATCGCTTCTGGCCGGCTAGTTTGGCCGCGGCTGCAGCCATCCATCCAGTGGCTGCTGGCTTGGTCTCATCTGCAGCAAATACAGCCACGTCGGAATCCAGCCTCACACATAGTGGAAACTACATAACACACCAACGGGCAGTTGGCAGTAGTATAGATATGCGAGAAGACACATCGAAAACCACCAACCCTCAAAAACTCACCGCGGGTACTCTTAGAATGTTACCTTCGGATAGAATGGTATCATGTTTGCATGCGTCTGACGTTTCCGCCCAGATGCGGCAAGATGCAAGCTACCCATTGGTGAGCAGAAAACAAGTTAATTCCAATCCAACAAATAATTTAAACTGCTGGGAGCACGAATCACAGTCTCCAGCGTATAATGCCGGAGATGAATACGGAGTACCAGTGAGTGGATCGAAGGTCTCTGTTTTTCGTCGGACTTCAATCCATGCTCATCCTTCGTCATTGCAACAGCGCGATGGCTCAAAACACCCTACTGACTGCATGGATTTCACAACCCTCAGCAATGTACAATCCGACATGCCAGGATCACCTGACACAAATCAGAAAAACATGAAGTGTCCGGTTGGAAAAAACTCACCAGGCACAATTCAAGGTGAAAAGGGAGTGGAGAATTATGGTAAGCACATGTAACAGTATTATTTCTGTACCATAGGAGTTTGTTGCTACACCTAAATTATTCGAACGTTGTATTACTCCTTTCAATAGATTCACGAACGTACCATGTGCAGAATGTGTTGCAACATCCTCAGAGGCATCAGCGTTCATCCCAGACACCTACCCAACTGCAGCCGTGTGGTCCGACCTCCGTTGTCCCTTCACAAAGCACACCAGCCTATGATGGTTATGGGAGTACCAATTCGTCGGACATGTATGTTCCAAACTTGAAACCCACTCTTCGTGGGAATGCAAGTTTAAGCTCACAATCGACGGATCGTGACCCACATGCTTTCTCTGCCCTAACTACGCTGCACGCGACCTTGAAGCCAGATTCAACCGCCACCGCATCCAAACCAAATCAGACCCTGACTACAATATTTGAGAACAACACGGCCGCTCTGTCAGAAAAAGCCACCTATGATACTAGATCAACCAAAACTCACTCGTCCGAGTACGGTGGCGGAAAAGTTCAACCTAGCGATACCACTTTATTGCATCACATCTCTGAGTTAACGTTTCAGCAGTCAAGTACCGATTGTGTTCAGAACAACACTTTCGATTTCCACCCCAAACTGAGTCAATCTTATCCATCGAATTACTCATCAGCTCTGTTGAATCAAGCGCAGCAATATTCCAACTATTTGGCCTCAGGCATAGGTCAACCCGGTTCATTGTCCTCATCCGGTGATATTCCTTCCTCTTTAACTTGCTCTGGCTTTCAGAATGTCTTCGCTTATTCATCGGAGACAGCCTCACCTCATCCGTTTTCGACCATCCCGCATTTGTCCCAACTTTACAACCCACCGTTTCCCACCGGCTCTCTATTCTCATCCACTGCCGTTCGCCCGAATCACGTGAATTCCATCTTTGGCGGATTAACGGATCAGAGCATCATGACTATAGGCTCCAGCTCAGACTCCGGTTGCCAGCACTCTGATACGTATGCACTACCGTCCTTTGGGCTAGAAAAACCGCACCAACGGACTCCCCCTTCGGCTGGTCTGTCCGACGCACATCCGGATGCTGCTTTGTCCCCGCAGGCCATCCCTTCGAACGCGACCAACTGTAATTTCTCATCGGTTTCGAGGAGTACGCGAGAACCTTTCGATCAGCCGAACATCAACTCGATTTCCCACTTCACGCAACCGGCAAAAGATCCACAACTGCATAGGCCTCCAAAACCAATTTATCCGCCACTATGCTACTATTCTAAGTATATTCCGACAATCTCAGGCCCTCGTGGTGCATATAACATGCCCTCCACCTATTTACCCACACATTATTCGATACCACCGTAGTGGTAGCAGCCCAACATGGAACCGTCATTCCACTGGTGCTTGTGTCTGGTCGATACTCCTTCGGCTAACAAGCATGTATCTTTATATGTAAAGAACGAAGACCTAATTTCGAATCATGAACTATCTTGCCACGGATGACGAACCGGGTTCAGGTGATATTCACACAAGCAACCGAATTACCTCGTTCTGTTGCCTTCAGACTCCCGACTTTCTACCACACATCCCTTTGTAATCGGACTACAGGGTCAATGCAACCGGCTAGTGAGAACACTAATCATATACACTCCTTTTTTCGGATCCATACGCAGGGTATGACTACGCCTTGGTGCCATTTCTCCCATTGTCCCCGTACGGATACATCCTATCCAGCATAGTAGGAGGTCACCTGCAGAACAGAAAGACGGATGAAGCGAATTCGAGTGTTGCAAAACTATTATCCCAGATTACTTAATTGAACACTATTGTTTCTTTTATTATTGTTTTGATGGCGGACGTAAATTAACGTGGTTTACCAGTATGCACTGTCAGAAATAGATCAAAAGTGAACGAAGCGTCATACTCTTGACTGTGACCGGAATGCCGACTCATCTTGCCTACCGACAGAACAGCAAGGTTTCAGGTACATATGCACAAGCGAACAGCGAAGTAAGAACCACTTGATATGACTAGCGTGTTCGGAAGGTTTTGCATAACCCCTTTCTTAATAACAATCTTGAAGCAGTGGACACAGGCTTCAGTTTGTCGGGCAATCGGTGCGGGAGTATGGGAGTTTTGTATTCAAGACGTTTTTCGTAGCGCTGGTAAACACTGCTACATTCTTAAAACTAACAGACTATACGAAATTCATAAATGAAGAAGTATGCAGGAAAACTGTCATGATATAATTAGTAAGGACCAACCCCTTCGATCTTTACTTGAATCTGATACGAGTGTAATCGCTTTTGTTTTATTGTAAAGTGAGGCCTCCATTTCCAGTTAGACCACTAAGATTGAAATTGATGTCCTGAGATGCTGTCTACGTCCTGTGAAATATCCACTTATTTGGGGATCCACAGTAGCTTCCAGGTCAGGCAGAGTGCCACACTTCCAGCGAAGCACCGGACGAACACTTCGTTTTATCCGGACTCGTCAGTAGTATGCACCTGTTGACTCGGCTAGGAATTTAATTAATCATGATAGTCCAATTTGGCCCAGAGACTAGTAGGGAGGTGGCTGCTCAATCGCGTATCTCGGTCGGCCCCATTCACACCTCATTTTTGCATGTCGGTTTGATATGTCGCTACCGAAGCTAAGGCGTTGGTCGTCGCCAGATGAACCAGCCCGCCGCAGGCTGACTCGATTGAGGGTGGTGTTGGAGTAACACTGTGCAGCAGCAATCGTGACAGGCTATTTGCTTGTCCACGTCTGGGAAAACGCAGCTATTGTAATACATTTTCGGCCCAACTTGATAGGGGTTTGCAACGATGCAGTTGAAAGATGGGATCACCGGTATGCACATAAGTATTCAGTGATTTGTCCGTATGAGCTTCGAGGGTAGTCATAGGGTACTATAAGTTTTAGTTTGAACGAACTTCCCCAAAGACTACGCACTACTTGAGTCACGTTCTAAGCTAGTAGGTATGCACATGTCCGATTCAGTCGCATGAAAATCATGGCTTTTATTTACTGACGTCTACGGCCAATCACATCTATGTCACCTAGCCTTCAACAAGGCAAGAAAAAATAGTCATAGAGCTAACTTGCCTTCAAAAGCACTCGAATATATACTAATAAGTAATAAACACCTCATTTGAAAAAATACTTGCCTTCAAAATTTACTGTACTGTGATGTACGAACTCTATCGGAAACTTGCAGTCGAAGGCGTTCTCTAAAACCTTTTTGAGCTGCATCCCTAGGTTAGTTCGATTAGCTGTTTTCTTGAGCTCATGTTACATACTTCTGATTTCCCTGTTTGGTTTGTATTGATTTGTCGTCAAATACCGGATAGATATAATGAGAACACTTGGACCCAAAGATGTGAGGACACCGAGTGGGCTTAAAGGTAATTTTCTTCTCACCAGTCTAACTACACGGTGGGGTCAAGGCGGGATTCATGTGAGCACAGCAGGATTGTTCCCTTTGTGGGCGTGACAATAACTACACCACTCGTCTCAATTTTGCCAGAGGCAGTATTGCTTTTGGAGTACGACGGGTTGAAACATGGGTCTATCACCGAGGCTCCTCTACGCTACTGCATGCCACTCAACTACGGACTGATTATGTCACCTCGATTGGTGACGAAACGTTTGCAACAAAATTGCAAAGCTCAGCGAAAAGTTCAACCGTCCAACCATCATTTGTACTGGCAGAGTATGAGCAATTATCAAACCCTAATCATTGTCTGCTGCAACCCAGTCTAAGGGTCGTCATCAAAAGTACTTGTTTGTTATTCTTCTCCGTGGAATTTAGAGATTTTTGTGGTCTGTCACGTATTTTTGCCCCGTTGACAGCATGACAATTAAGTTCAGAAAAAGCTGGGGACCAAACGTACGCGTACCGGGGGAAAATGCCGCCCCGGGCGGCATGTGGCAGGGGGCGGCATTTTTAGTACCGTCGCTTGTTCAATGTCAAATATACAGGGCGAAATTTCCAGAGAAACTGAAGGTTGAATATTTTAATGTTACTCTGCATGACCAACAACACCTCTGCGCCGTGTCATACCTGTGCAAAGTTTCTTTCCAGCGATCCATTTACTTGTCCCATTGTGGTTACTTTCAGCACATTTACCTCAATGTCTCAAAAAGGTTGTCCATTTCATCGAAAAGTAATGTGCGCTTTACCTTGAACCGATTTTCAGGGTTTACGGATTCACAACCACTGGGGAAGGGGCGAAGAATTTAACACCTCCTCGGGAGGCGAAACTAGTTGCCGCGCCGCTGAGCTCCAGAGGGCCAACGTCCAATAGCATCAGTAAGATTTCGGACGAGTGTTGAAGGAAGCGGTTAAAAAGTAGAATTGCGCCAAGTATGCGGCAATAACCCAACAGTATACTGCGTCTGGAGTGGGCTTCCAATAAGGAATTTACAACTTCCGCAGTGTTCTTTGTATCGGTATTAGCACATTAAGCTAAATTAAACTATGCTCACAAACTGTGCAAGTAGATAAGTAAATTTCAAGTTATTGAGTTTCCTGTAACACAACTTCAGCTCAAGTTATCACCACAGAAATATTTCCTTTTAAGTTGCTATATTTTGTGAGTAATACCATGGTGCGCATCCGATGTCATACGCAGTAGTCTAACTAATATGTCGCTGTATACTGCTCAAGGAAGCTGCATCACCCAAGACCTTGACTGTCAGCCATACACTTTGACGGCTGCAACATACCGTGTTTCAATGTTACTTCCTCACGAGAAACCGGAGAATTGGTCATGATACTAACGAGAAATATACTTATTAAATCCATCCAAGTTGAAAATGGGTCGGGTCACTACTATCCTATCACTTCCACCATGACATTCCTTAACGCTGATAGAACTTTTAGGGAGCGTACATCAACGAGAGGATGACAGTATTCAACTTGCTTTGTGGAACCCCCCCACACAATGTGACCTAATGGGAAATGATTGTGCCATAAAACCGTAGGTCATACGGTAGTGGGCATGGCAAGCTTTATCACAATGGAGGACACGGCCTACCAGCTAATGAAAAAAAGAATTCCTTGGAAAAAGTTTCCAGATATCAGTGCAGCGTTTTGCCACTAGTCGACGCTATATGCTTTCATGCAGTGTGTGATTGTGCTATTTAAGTCACTCGCCTTCCTCGCCACGCCGAATACAAACCAGTCGAGGTGATATCGTCAGTCCTTTAATGTGAAGCAGACCATCTCACTGATCGGGTCGTTGGTCAGTGATAGACTAGCCCATTCAGTGAGATTGTCCATCACACAGTAACGCAATGAGCATTTAACATCGCTTGGCGGAAAACCGTTCGTAATGAAATTAACGGACTGGAAAAACCAACAGACAACTTGGCAGTCAAACCGAGCTAAAAGTATCCCGATTTATTTTAGTCAGACTTGCTGACTGATTTGTATCCCGAGTGTCAACTAAATCGAATGAATCAAATAGCACAGACACAACATGTTGGAGAAAAATACGACTGACAATAACTACAGTAATCCGACTACAGTCCATCCAACTACTTATCTTAATTCTAGATAAAATTAGGCTACTTAAAAAGTAGCAGTAGTAAACTTATTCATGAATTACATCCCGAACTGATTATGGCATTGAAATTAGTAGAAAAAATTCTGATGCACTAAACTGGGTTTCGCAAACCAAACTGGACAGCTTATTTTAAGCAGAGAAGCAACAATCTGTTAGCTAGGAACGAGAAGCAACGAGACTGAACGATGTCCAGGCCACACTACAGTCAGGTCAATGTAACCTGAAGTGTGCAGGCAGCGGAAGCTACTTCAAGTCCTTCCCCTAATCGTGAGTGTCGTTCCCCTCGATCAAAGGCGGTGATCCAGTTCTCCCTGTCGCACTATCGACCTTCGCTTATTGTGTGCGCGTGTGTGTGAATCTATGCAGTTGTGCGACTATGAGAACAGTGTACTTTATTGTGACTCAACCAAACGTTGCCTATCCTACTACTCCACTAACCGAATAAATTGAGCGACGAACGCCAAGCAGACGCATCTCCGAGGCAGCGACGGTGCAAGCGAACGTCATTGACGCAGAAAGAGATCCTCACCAAGCGTGTGTTCATGAGCGACAAAATCACTCACTAAGTTTCTGAACTCATCGATGTCAACGACAGCACGGTAGGAAACATCATCAATGCTTACAGGTGAGAAGGCACCATTACTCAGCGCAACTGTGCAGGAAACAAGAGAGAAGTTGACCACCGATATGTTACAGTTCATCGACGAGGTCGTTGAACGACATTTGGAGGACACTATGGGTGCAGATACAACAGCGGCTGGAAGAGAACGAGATCTATCTTTCCGTATCTAC